AATTTGTAGCACTGTTGCCTTGCAGCAAGAAGGCCCAGGTTTGATTCCTAGCCTCGGGTCGTTCAGGATTTTGCACCTTCTCTGCATGCACTCTCTCTGGCTTCCTTCTACAGTCCAAAAACCTGATTGGCATCTCTAAGTTGGCTTTAGCAGTGAGTGTGTGTGTGGCGGTATGCCTAGTGTTTCCCTTTATTAATTTCAAAGGAGTAATTGATACACATCTGTATAAAAATCACATTAAAAAGAATAAAACAAACAAATCTGACCTAAAACTGTTTCATTTGCAGGTAATAAAACTGTAAATTGTAAAATAAATTATTATATGAAAATAAAATAATTCTTTACATGGAATTAAGATTTAAACATAAATAAAATCAATTAAAAAGGAAAACAAAAAAAGGAATAAACTCTACCTAAATGATAAAGTATTAAAAATAACTTTTTAAAAGCAATTAAATTTAGCAGGATAAAAAAAAATGCATCAAACTATACGATCAAGGCCCATCTTAAAGTTTTGGTTAAAGGTTTTAAAGGTTATGGACAATAAGAAGTGTTTTGTAATTTATTTTTAGATTTATTGTTCCTTGATCTGGAGTCAAAATGAAACAATTCAACTTCAGCAGCAAACATTTTAAGCTTCATCTTGTCTCTACAGATGTTTTACATTACTTATTTGCACATTTTTCTTAATTCATTTAATTTATTCTTCATAGTTAAACATTTTTCAATAGTGTAATCCAGCTATGCCTCTCCACTGATCCTTTATGTGGATCCTCTTTCAGATTCATCTCCCTGATGGAAAAATAAGGGAAAGTCTGGGGATTCAGAGAGGTAGAAATATGTTTGTGTTTGTGAGAGAGTCCCAGGTCCCTGCTCTAATAACACAGAGTTTCCCAGTGAGCGGTGGGGCAGCTGCCTTGGAACACCGCAGGGATCTACGGATCAAATTCACCCACACACACTGAGCCGAGGGATGCACGGATCAGAGGGTACACACTGCAACTCCACGCACACCTAAACCTTATTTCCCAGTTCAGACACATCCACTCTTTTCATAATTCAGTTAGAGAGAGGGGCTCTGAGAGTCAGACAGAGCTGGGATTATTTAAACGCAGCTCATTTCATAAAAACATCAGGCATCGAACCAGTTTCTGATCCAAAAAGCACCAATCGGATGGAAACAGAACCTGAACTGAAGCTTTTGGAATCAAAACTCTAGGATCCGTGTGCATTTTTGTTCTGAATTATTTCAAATTTCCTGTTTTCTTAGTATCATGACAGGTTTGATTAACTTCGACCTCTTGGGGACATCTGAATCTTTCCTGATGAGACATACAAGTGAAACTGTAAAACATCAGAGAACAGAAGGAGGTAAATCCTGATGAATAAGTGTATCTCCATCCTGGTATATATTTGATCATCTGGCCAAAGTTGTTGTCCCGCAGCTTACAGAAGAAAAAAAAAACAGGAGAGCAAAGGGGATGAATCACAGAGAAGCTGCAGCATAGCACCTCCTGGAGGCCTAGTGATGAAGTGAAGTTTAGCGCTGTATGGAATGTGACAAATTGACTACAGAGCATCTTGTAAAAAAAATGCATCTAAAAAAATAAACAAATTTACAGATTTTTAAATTCCAGATATTATTTTTCAGATTCCATGTTATATGTTAAAGTATGACCATGACCCATAATGCCCCGCAAATCTCCCTGAAAAATATGCAAGAAGACCAAATATAAAACATTTATTTTGTTTTTTTTAATAGGCATGTAAATGGAGAATATAAGAGTACAACATATTTAAGAATAAATAGATATAAATCTGTGAACTTGAAAGATGATCTCAATTTTGTTTTTGTATACAACTAAGAAAAGCCTTGGTGATGCCCAACACTTTTTCTATAATATCTTTAGCTTCCCTGATTTTCAGCTTGCTGTTTACTTTGCTCCTGAATCTAAAGAACTAAAATAAAAAGCTGTTGTTGGAGTCCTGATATCTGATACTGAAATAAACAAAGAGAAGCGAGCAGAACTGAAGCTGAACCGACTGTGAAACTGCAGAGAGAGAGATCCAGGAGGACGTCAGTGATCAGGGCCACAGCATCTCTTATTTACCCACACACACATACAGAAAAAAACATCTCTTATTTACCAGCTTACGTCTGCACTATTTATGGGACGTTGGGGAGAGGCACAGAAGAGAGGAAGAGAGGAGAGGGGCTAAAATATGCATAGGGGCTGGATCTACAGGGACAGCAGGGGGGAGTCAGACAGGAAGAGGGAGGAAGTGAAAACTGTGGCAGGAGCCATGATGGAGAGAGCATGAGAAGCGGGCATGTAAGTGGGGCTGAAGGAGAGAAACCAGGAGGGAGGAAGGGATGATTCAGTGCTGCCTCTCGCCTGCAAGCACCCTCAGGTGGCACGCTGTTTGTGAGCCGGACATCATACGGCCCTTCCGAGGCCCCGAAAGAGGCCAAAGCTTTTTCTTGCTGGCCAAGCCGCCTTCCTCCATCCATTCATCCCTAACTCATTAAAACACACTCAAATTACCCCATTCCACATTCTCTGGCAGATGTGCAGAAGCACAGCAACAGCTCGCACTCACGTTAACCTCCACGGTGGAGGCTCTCCATCTCCCCCGGTCGGCCTCTCCGTCTAGCCCACTTAGAGCGCCCTCCCATGAGGCGATGAAGTGTAACGGGTCGGACTCAGGCTGAAAGTTCGCATCCGATCACTCGCACATGTTTGGGCAAATACCAGAGAGTAACAAGATGGATGCTGGGAGAGTGCTGCAGTCAAGCTGAAGCACAGGAGGCCAACAAGATGCAATGAAAACAAAGGAATAAAAATAGATTCATCCAAAAGGTTTCTAATCGGAACAATGTGGGGACTATTATTATTATTATGAGTATTTTCCCAAAAGTCCTGAATCGATTGGATTTTGATTAATACAGTTCTAAATTTATTAATTTCGATTCGATCTGTCTTTACAATAGTGAAAGAGGTTCAACTGTGTTTCAAAATACTGATGTATTTTATTTTTTTCCTGTCACATTAAACACAAAGTGCAAACTTTTAAATCAGACAGTTTAAACTCGAGATGTGACCAAAACTGTCTCATAAGTGCAAACTTGTTAGTGAAAAGTGAAAAAGTGAAGCCTTACTCGAGCAAGCAGACATGACACGGACATGCATGAAACGGCAGACATGCATGAGCTGCATTATCTCCACTGCAGAAACCATATTTGCAGTGTTGTCTGTAACAACTACAGGGTGTTTGCTGGTCAGCCGCAATTTATTAATGTCTTCAGTCAACCTATTAGCTATATTTGCAGCTGTCTGGCTTGAAGTCATCTTCAGGGCATCTTTCCTGCACATTTGAATGTTAACGTCACGTGCGTCACAATAAAACGAATCAATCTCCTTCCCTAGACATCGATTTTGCAAAAATGTAAAGGAATCGATTCAAAATCGATTAAATCGATTTTTTTACCCAGCCCTAATTGTGAGTATAAATAACCCTTGATGGGTATATAAATTATATAGACATATGTATCCAAAAGCTTGTTTTGACAACTTCCTGGTCCTATAAAACCTGACAAGCTGCAAGCAGGTGCTGCTGATTAACTAACTGCCATCAGTGTGAGGATCAGTTGAGTTAGCCTTTCTGAAGCATTCAGGAGACTGTTTATATAGTTTTCTCTGTAAACAGCATTTTCTCTTTAAAAGGGATATTGGCCATAAATAACAAAGATCTGACTCCATGGGGGTGGAGGGCTGGTGATTTGGGATAGTTTTCTAAAAGAAAGAATTAATAGATTTGAACCATGACCTATGTGTACATTGTAACCTAGAAACCAACATGAGTTCATCCAATCATGGCTGCAATGGTCCAGTCAAAGTCCAGACCTCATAACAACCTAGCAGAAAACAAAAGTGTTCAGACCGCAATGAAGTGAAGGTGTTTTTTTATTTTTGTCCTCCTTTTCTTTACTTTTTGGTTTAGAAATAGTTTAGTATTAGTTAGTTGATGATTTTATCACTTTAAGAAGTACCAATTATGAGAAACTGTACCTGGAGACAGATTCATTTGGATAAAGAGTTTAATAAAAATTAAATAACAAAATAGCTAAATTATTGGATTTGAGACATTTTAAGCATTTTTTTTGGCATGATCACATGGCACAGGGGAGGATGATCTTGAAGACATTAAACCTCTGACAGTCGATTCCTGATTTTCCTGAGGACCGGGATGGCAGGAGAGAACCGGGATGGAGGATAACTGGAGTGTGTGTGCGTGTCTGTGTGGACATTGACCGACAGGGTCCAGTGGTCACCCTGCTGTTAAATGGACTGGCCGACCATATGCCCACCACCTCTGGCACTATATCATCACCACTTTATGTGCTTGACTGAGCGGCTTTCTCTGCAGGAGGCAGGTGAGCTTAGCTGGTCTTCTGAGGACCAAATCATAACTAAAGCTGTTGTTTATTACTATATTAGAGTGATTCCATACTTACATCTCCCTGCCAATATAAACCATGTGTACCAGCAGAGCTGTGCTTAAGTTAAATCTTATAGAGCACACAAACTAAAAAAAAAAAAAAAAACTGAAAAAGTTGGATTTTAATCACCATTGAGTGCAGTGTTATCATAGACTATGTTAACACCAGTGCCTGATGATTGACTTGAAAACCAAACAATCTGCAGCTAGATGAGAGGAAGGTTAAGACCAACGCTAAGCTGGCTGCAGCTGGCTATGGACCAACTCCAGTGTGACTTATATCCACTTATAGATCTGATTCAAAATGAGCTGAATCCTGCCAGAACCCCACCAAGACCTCATGAGGAGAGACAGAGAGAGAGGCATGGAAAGTTGGGGAGAAAAAGAGGAATAATTACAGAAGAGGCATGAAGTTTTATCTGGATAAGATTCTTCATCCATGGAGTGTCCTTGGTCAGACAGTCCTGTTACTGCACACATTCACAGAGGAGTGAGCCTACCTGGAGCTCTGTCTGGAAGAAGAACTTCTGTGGACACTGGGAACAGTCATAGATCTTGTCCTCCTGACCATGCACGGCAAAGATGTGCTGCTGCAGCTTGTTGGCCTGCACAAACACTGCAAGGAGGACAGACAGAGCGAAGCGTTGCAGCATTAATGGGATGGAGTCTTTGCAAACAGGGAAAACAAAATTCATGCCTGGATAAAAAAAAAAAAAACTGGAGAAAAAGAAAACTTTATCTATGTGAAACAGAGGGATTCTTTCAATTTTTCAAAATAAAAATTCTAGGACTGTGAATCTGGATTCAAGCAATGCAGAGAGTGACTTCTCTAAACATCAGTTATCTAAACCGGAGAAGGAACTGAGGGCTGATGAGGAAGCAGCTCGCTGGATTAAGAGAAATCAACTGTCACCAGAACATGTGACATTTATCAATTAATCATCTCCTTATTTTGTCTTTTAACTTAAGCTTCAGTGTTGTTTTGTATCCCCCCCCCTTTGTTACAGTAAACTTTTGGTTTCCACTCCGAGACTGCTGAATTATTAAGCATTCCCACAGGAGCTGAGCCTATTTTACTAATTCATGAGCCACCAAGGAATACAGTTAAAGTTTAAAGTGTTGCTGCACCTGGGGGGTGGGGGGGGCACAAAGCACAAGACAAACTCAACAGCCATGAGGCGGGTGGTTGTGGGGGGTTGATAGAGTAAAGAAAAGTGCTGAATGTGAGAACCTAATTTGGTCATTTATTTCCTCTCTCCTGTGGATTAAAAACATTTCATGTTTGTAAACATGCAGATATTAAAGCCTGCTGCAACTATACACATATAGTTATACACATATATCACAGCTTTAAAGCTCTCATAAATGATCCACTGTGTTGAACTGAGCCGATAGGTTTTGAAAATGTTCAAGTTAGCAAGGGTAAAATTGCTTTAAGTGTCTCAAAATATCTAAGCTTCATTTGATCAGCGCTGATTTTAAATTTGAAATACTTCCAATGGTCAAACACTAATCAATGGTTACACTAATCATATGTTAAAAACAGTATATATTGAAAATTTATGTCTCTCATAGCAGACAAAAAAAAAATAAACTAAAACTATAATCAACATGCCAAAAAAGTAGTAAACCTCTCTTTTTCACTAAAAGAAAAAAGCTTTCCCTCCATCTAAAGTTTCATTTATTGACTCACAGGGACAGAAGACAGCTGTCCTCCACACTTTTCAGATTTTCCTTCATAAAAGCCTTTGAGTTTTTCAGAGACCCTTTTTTTTTTTCTTTAAACTATCACAAACCAAGGTCAGAATTTTTATACACAAAAAGTTTCCTGTTTCTATAAACTTCATATCAGACTGAAGTCTCACTAAGTTTATTCAGCTTTTATCTTTCTGTTTGTCATACGTGTGTCCTTGAACATGTTAGCGTGCGTCTTACCTGTAAAACAGACGGGGCACTTGAAGGTTCCTCCCATGCCTTCGAAGCTGTGCTCTATCAGGTGGCAGAGCAGCTTGGCAGGTGAGTCGAACATCTGGTTACACAGCTTGCACTCGTGATTGATGCCCTCCTCTGCAAATAGGAGACAGACACGCATGCGTAGGTTAGATTAGGCAACACGGAAATTTGGAAAGTGTGATTTAATTTCAGGATATCAACACAAAACTAAGAACAGCTGTTTGATGTATACAAAAAACAGGTAGCAACAAAGGCACTCATTGAAAATAAAATCTACATTAAAAACTCATTTTATACTCCTCCTTAGGTTGTGTTTCTTATAAATATAGACAAACCAATTTTTGGGTTGTGTAGAAGAAAGTTATGCTTTTATATTAATTTACTTGTTTTGATATAAAATCAGATTGTTTGGCTTAACAGTGTTGTTGCACATCCTCCTTTAGAAACACAAAACTCAAATGATCAGATTTAACATGAGGTTATCATTAGATTTAATCCGTGATGCTTTACAATGCCACTGCACTATAACCTGGTGTAATAACAGTGCAATAACTGTGTAATAACTATTCAATACCCTGCACATTAATCCTATACTGCACAGTTTTTTGTTTTTTTTTAACCTGCCACCACTTTACCGTACATAAGATACCTTACATCCTTAGTGTACATTTTAGCTTTAATTAATTAAATCAAGCAAAAATCAGGTATAGTATGGTAGGCTAATGTAGACTAGACAAGGTAAGCTAATGTAGTGAGCTAGTAAACAGACTCAAATGGGCAAGATCAAATCAAGCAAGGGAAAAACTAATCAGCTGCTACTGGCAATGCCTAAAACCAGACCTAAAACCAAAGGTGATTGTGCCTTTATGGCAGTGGCACAGAGACTCTGGAATAACTTGCCTTGGCATATTACATCAGCAGGCTCCTTTGAGGTTTTTAAATCCTCTTTAAAATCACATTTCTTCTCCCTGGCTTTTAATCATGTGTAAGTGGACATTTGGCAATATTTTATTTAAAATTTTATTTTATTCTAAAATGTATTTTAATTGAAACATTTATCCTATTCTATTTTTATGTGTTTATGTTTTTTAGCCTTCAGTTTTTATCTTATGTTCCTTAACTGTGATTCCTGTACAGCACTTTGGCCAACCCCGGTTGTTTTAAATGTGCTTTATAAATAAGTTTATAAGTAAATTATAAATAAAGTTTGAGTTGAGTTGAGCTGAAAAACTAATGTTTTCAAAGATGAGGTTGGCTAAATTAAACCTGAGTTATGCTGTTGTAAATTAATGTAAAAATAGATAAATAAGATTAGATGTGTTAAATTAAACTAAACTTAGGTCATGTTAAATAGGCTTATTCAACCCCACCAATGATTCTAAAGAATCATATGAATCTAAAGTAAGAACAAATATGTTAAGATTGGCTAAGCTAAGCAGATCAGGCTACATTAAAACAATCTTTATCCCTCATCTCTTCTTTACTGCTTTTTGAATGTTGTGCACAAGCTGTTAAGATAAAAGCATTTAAGCGATGACGTACTTGTTATTATTAGTCTTTTATTATATTGTATTTCATACATTTTCAAAATATCAAACTTGAAGCTGACTATTTATGAAGATTTCTGTGTGTAGAAAATAGTGTCACAGATTACATTTAGTGGCATGTAGTGTTTTGAGTTCAGTGGTCAAACAATGGGCGCTGATCTAAAAAATGGTTTGGTACTGAACTGACAGCAGTTAACAAAACAGTCAAAGCCTGAAGAAGGACATCTTGAAAATGTATTCATTTCCTATTTGGAAGCTTATAAATGAAATTAAATATAAAAACATTCACACTTTTACAACTAATATTCAGGTAATAATGAGATGGGATCCTTGCTAGTGTGCAGAACAAATATTCTTAGCTGTGTTTTTCTGTTTGTATCTATTTTCAGATGGTGTGAGTGACATCACTGCCCCCATGGTGAAAGGCCAGATGAAGGTGGGCGTCGTAAACACAAACACACACGTGCACCCCTTGGTGATCAAGTCCCCTGCCTGTTGTCCTTATCACCAGTGTACCAAACAGGTCCGATACCCCAGTCGCCCACGCACACAGCACGGGGCAACACACACATACACACACGCCACAGGACCGAACTGCCGGGAGACATCAGATGGTGTCGTCTGCAGGCCAATCTGTGACCCCCGCCGAGCTGTGTACACATACACATATACAACAAGCCCTCTTTTCTAACACTTATCTCATGTCCTGTAAGTGCTAACACACAAACACACATTCTGCAAAACCTCCACTGCAGGGGATCGCAGGGTTAATAACGTCTTCAATCATGCATCCATGACACCCATACTGACTAATGCACACACGCACACCAAGATTTTTATCTCTCCTTGCCTCAAAGGCCATCACAAGGGTGCCAATCCCATCTCAATAGCTGTGTGTGTGCGGGTATGGGTGGATGATGTCCTCCATGGTCCCCATCTCCAAACAAGCTCCTTTTCACGCACACAGACACACAGAAACCTCAAAGGCTGCGAGGCTGTGAGGGGCGCCAGCGTGTCCGAGGCACACTGAGACAGATAGAGGTTCATTATCATTTACCAGGAGATTGAACCAGCAGGACAGAGTCACATGGAGTGACACATGCAGAGAGAGAGAGGGAGGAGGAGAGAGAAAGTGAACAGGAAGGGTGTACAGCAGCAGCAGCTTATTCATGTGTTTCACATGTCTTGTTTGATAAAGTTTAAATCTTAACGTTTTGTTAGAGCTTTGTTTAAGAAAAGAGACACAGGGATGAAACTATAAGAAGAGCCTACGCATCACTGTGTGAGGGTTTATTAGGAACAGGGCTGTAGAGAAAGCCTCTTTAAGTCCATGTCCTGTGTGTGTGTGTGTGTGTGTGTATGTGTGTGCTGGGGTGGGACCCTCAGAAGTTGTCTCCAACCCTCCCACACTGTCAGGATCCAATAAGGGAGTCAAACATCAGCTACCTCTATATGGAACAATTGATAAATGGAACTTAATTGCTCTTTTCTAGTCATACAGACCATTTAATGTGCTCCAAACTAGAGCAATATTTACTGAACAGTACTCACACTCATCCTTACTCCAAAGCCCACGCTGGTAGAAAACCCACGTTCTACAGCTGAACCAGCATTCATAGTCAAACCTTCAATTTTCAGATTCAAGGACAACTATCCAGACCACTGGGCCACAGTCCTACTGCAAAGAGCAGGAAATGGAAAAGATATCTCATAGATGCACAACATGGGATTGCCAGCGCATCATGGAGGTCGATGGGGTCAGACTTAGGGTTATGCTTGGCATCTGATGGTTTTGTTTTGAGACCACCAGAAAATTGTAATCAGGGTTCCTGTTGTCTAAACCAGATCATGATGGGGATTTTTTTTTATTTCCAGATAAAAAAAAAAAAAAAATAGAGAAATCTATGCCTTCTATTTGAACACGTTGGGAATCATCCCACACTAAACCTAAAAGACTTTGGGTTTACAGTGAACCCTCGTTTATCGCGGGGGTTATGTTCCAAAAAGAACCCGCGATAGGCGAAATCCGTGAAGTAGAAACCTTTATTTTTTTACAGTTATTATACAATGAAATACTCCATAAAACATTGAAATCAAGGAACAAAAACTTTTTACAGGCCCAAACATTTGTTTAACAAATAAAAGTACGGTATAAACATTTGTTGTTGTTGTTTTTTTGTTACAAATAACTACTGTACTGTACTGTAAAATGATATAGTTATAAATAAATAAGTAATAATTTTAATCTTCAATACAAACTGAAGGGTTAATATTGCGGGGATCAGCACCGCCACGCCCCGGAGAAAATGGAAAATGATTATGAAAAAAAATACAAATTATAGTAGGACAATAGTGACTGACGTGTACAGTACAGTACAGTATTTCACTGCTGTTCTGACGGAGCCGCTGCATCCTGACCCTGCTCTGTGGTGTTTTTTTCTTCTAAAGCCTGCGGTGCAGGTTTGTTTTTTGGAGAGAAAAACATAGTTATCAGTAGTTGTTGTCTGTCTTTTTTCTTCTGGGCCAAAAGATCCTTATAAACCGACATGACACCATCAATTATGTTTGACAATAAAGTTTAACAATGTATGATGCAAATCCGTAAAGCAGCAAGACCGTGAAGAGTGAACCGCGTTAAAGCGAGGGTTCACTGTATTGGTCCGTCCTGTTCTTTTACATCAGGTTGTAAAATCTTTTTGTTGTAAATGTATAACAATATGCCTTATTTAAGTTCCACTGTTTTAGCTTATAAATATACATAAAATTAAATAAATTAGTTCAGTCACCAATAAGCTTATTGTATGAGTGAGCATATGTTGGGTTCAAAAATGTAGGTTTGTAAAAGAAGAACTTGAGTCTATACAGGAAAGAGATTCAAGCAACTTCTGCAGGAGTGGAAAGAAAGCCCAACCCAACTTCCAGCTTTTTTCCTCCGACTCCCCTCCTGCAGCCGTCTTTTATTAACAGAACATAACACATGGTTACAAAACAGTATTGTTCTGACAGAACAATTGATCAGTTCATAAAACAGGATGCTTCCACCAGAATCACAAGGCAGGGGGGTCTCCTGACTGAATCACAAGACAAAGTGAAGCATCTACTTGCTCAAATGTTTCATAAGCACACACAGACGTTAATTTTATAATCATCATTGAATAAACCTAACAGTATAGAACCCAAAGTTCTATGTTGCTTGGTTTCATTATTTGTAGGTTCCCCGTGCAAAGAGACATGATTAATGCAATATCAGCTCGGAAAAGTAAACTTTATGAGATCATTTATGGTCAATCAATTAGTGTGAAAGAAAAAAATAGCAATGAAAGGAAAAAAAAAAAAATCCAAACCAGAATGAATGTGAAAACCTCAGAGAGAACAGAGGAGAGAACAGTGAGGTGCAGCGAGATAATTGGGCTGTCCGGAACAAGGGCATGGAGAGAGGCCTCTAACGCCTCTGCATGTATGTGTGTGTGTGTGTGTGTGTGGGTCCCATGAAAGACTCCTCTTTTCTGACAAATACATTGTTTTGATCAGTGTGTGTGTGGACGTCTGTCTCTGTGTGCTGTTCCC